GCTACTTTGATCGCCACTAAAACATTTTCGCTACCCTTCTTCACCAAGCCGTCGACCCCTTCACCCCTTCACCGGAGTGTACCTTGCCTCGCCGCCATCCGATAGTAGCTGCTGCTATTTACGCCACGACGGCGACGACGGGCGGTTGCATTGCCCGCTGCCAACTAATTACAGCGCGGATCAAAGAATTCATCGACGTCGCTCGGCGTCGCGTCAACGCGCGTGTACGGGAGAAGCGTGGAAACGGAGCCGAGCAAGAGGGAGGCGCGCAGCAGCCGTACGGAACCCTTACGTTCTACGTGAAAGTCGCGTCCCTGTGGGCGCGCTTGTACTCACACCAGAGAACGCGTCGCCATACGTTTCTATTACACTCGTATGCAGCGGACTGTGCAACGCCCGTCTCAACGCTAATTCGACGCGAAGGTTGCCAAAGAACTCAGATAAATTCGTTCACTTGCAGTTCGCGATGTTTGTGAAATCCACAGACTCGGAAGAAAACGAAGTTGCATGAAACACAAAGGATTTTGACATTACAAAGGCTCTTGACAAAATCGAGTCGTGATATATAGCTATGATTAGAGAACAGCCTCCGCATAGCCGTTCCTGGAAAATTACTATAACGTTATATCTTTCCACAGTTGTTTCCACTCACACACACACACACAAGTATTTTCTTTTTGTCTATCTACACTTGCGTCTTCGAGATAGAGAGTCATGAGAAAACGTCGCGAGGGTCCTTTGTCGCTTGACAAGCGCCGCAAAAACATTGGGAGAGAATATTTCTTCCCCTTTTCAAACGGACTCCACTTTGATTCGTTTCAGCCGTCATTGCTGTCGACCCATTTTTTCCATCTCGGCTTTTTTTTCCATTTTTCCCCAATAGTCCCTCTAATCAAGCGTGATAGCGTACGTAAACGAATTCGCGTATGCGCGAGGGCGGGAGTGTGGCCGCAAAGCGTTCTCTTTGTATAGCGGTAGTATAAAGCTTCGTACGATACCGCAACGCGATTTATTACAGCGCAAAAAAACTTCTGTCGGGTCTCGTCATTCTGCGCGGTCGCGATTTTCTTTCCCGCCGGGAAAGATCCATCACGCGCGAATAAGTAACAAGTGGAAACGGCAATTCTAATGAGAGAAAGAGAAAGAGAGCGCATTGACGAAACTTGGAGTTCCGACGCATCAAAGTAAGAAGTGCTCCTTCTGTTGGAAAATTAGGCCGCGTGACGTCTTTGAGAATCCTTCCCCTTGGTCCACCCTTCGGCTATCAGCTCCGATTGCTCTTTGCTTCGATGTTAACGAGAACATTCCGCATCGGTAAAAAAAAAAAAACCAAATTATTCCCGCGCGCTCACCGGATCGCGAACGTGAGTTGCACGTCGTCTTTTGAGATCGGGTTTCTTGCCGGCGCTCGCCAGTGACGAGGCTTCGAGGAGATCGAGAAACCATTCCTTTTCGCCCACGCCTCACGAGAGATACGCGTGCTCGAAAATTACGAATTCATGAAAACAAAACAAGCGCACTCATTAAGGTCTCATTTTATCGTGGATTTTTTTTTTTTTTATTTCTTCCTTCCTTTGTTTCCGCGTACGCGAGCGAACGTACTTTATGCCGCGCACTCGACCGTCCTTCATCGACGACAAAGACTTTTCGGCTCGAGCGATCGTTCGTTTTCCGTTTTGCTCTTCCGTCCATCTGTACGGAAATTAGCGTGCAAACGACGAGTAGATGGAAATAGACAGAGAGGAAAGAGGGAGGGGAAAAAAAGAGCGAGAGAAGGGAATGGATTGCGTTCGGCGTGCACGCACGTGGGAGTTACGTCGCAAATGAAGAGCGGCGAGGTCCCAATTTGTAATAGGATTCGGAGCAGAGTGAGATAAAAACCACCGAACGAGGATAAGAGTAGGGGGAGAGAGAGGAAGAGAGAGAGAGAAGGGGGAAACCTCTTTCGTTCTGGCCGGCCGTTCTCTGCGATGTCACAAAGTATAATACGAACTAATTACCTCGTTGTCGTCAAAGCTGCACTCGACTGCCACTGGGGAACAATAAGTGGGCACTTTCGCGAACTTTTCTGCATACGTGGCATCGGAAGCCCCGGATCCTCCTTCCGATATAGGAAGACAAAGCAAAAAGAGAGAAGAGATAACGGGGGAATCGAGAATGAGAACAAAAATCTGGAGCAGTGAAAGGAAGAGAAAGATAGGAAAAGAACATTTAGAAACGGAGAACGGGAGAATCCGCAAAAGAGCGACAGAGACGATAGGAAGGGTACGAAACGGGACGAGAAACTTTCTTTCGGTTGATTAGACCAGCGATACGAAAGGAACTTGGATAAGAGCGAGAGCACGCGCGCGTATTGCCGCCACAAAGCTTCGCCGCCCTATCAACGTGCTCTTTCCTTCTCTCTCTTTTACTTTAGCATGCAGGAACCTCGCACAGGGGGATAAATCAAAGCAGGTACCATCATCCAACCACGATGACCATCGTGCGAATCTCCAAGAGAAAAACACTGTAATTAGCCTCTTGAGCGATCCATCCCCATCTGGATCCCGTTTTGTCAGTCGGAGGCACGTTCGACGAGATTATCGCTGTATCTCTCGCTCTCGAGAAAACGGGGAGAGAAAACAGAAGGAAGAGTGAAGGGTAACGGGAAGGAGAGGGGAACGGACGTAGGTGCGTACGTGAGCACCAGGACCTATCTCCCTTGTCATCGTCGGTGTCGCCGGTCGTCGTTCTTTCTCGCTGTGAACGGCAACGCGAACGAGCCTTGAGGGAGAGGGGAGTCGAGAGGGGTGGTCCAGGGGCGCGAGCGGGAAACTTCAAAGCCACCGAAACGATTGTTCGGCGACGCTCCCGCGGGTGTGTGCCTCGAGAGGCAGGCGAAGGGGCGCAAGTACTCGCGAACGCGTGCGCCCACCCTTTGATTACCTTCTGAGCTACTCGTTCTCCTCCTCCTCCTCCTCCACCTTCTTCTTTTCTCTTTCTTCGGGACTCTCTTTTTCACGACAGAAGAGAACGGAGAGCCGATAGAGAACGGCAGAAATATACCGAAGAGACGCGCCGCGCGGCGCAAAGCGCGAACGGAAGAAAAAGGGGACTGGTACGATGAAGGAGCGCCATGGCGCGTTGAGGAGACGAGGGGGCGCGTCGCAATACCCGGCTTCTTCGCACCACGACTGAGCGAGTTCATTGATTTTACGAGCCCTTGCTTGACCTCGCCTCTGCTGGCCGAAAGAGAGAGAAAGAGAGAGAGAGAAAGAAACGTCGGTAATTAATAGCGAATAGCAATATTTCTCTTTGTTCACTTCTCTTGAAATAAAATTAGAAAGTTCAAACTATTCACTTTATTATTACCTATTGTTCGTTTCTCGACAATTTTTCTTACACTTTATTTTATTTCTGTTAACTTTTTTTTTTATATTTGATGTCGCGGTGACTTTCGAAATTTGTTTCCGACAGTTTTCAAAAGCGATATTACGCGCTTTAAATGAAAAAAATTTCAAATGTTTAGGAAATCACGGAACTGTACTCGTAGCCACACATTCACAAGTTTCTCATGTAATTGTATGTGCGAATTCAAAGGTCGGGTAGAAATATTGTGACTCGACAGGTTAATCCTTTATCCATCATCCTTTTATAACTGCGCGTTCTCGCGAAAAGACACGAACAAAGTTTTCGCATAATCCGATTTGGTTAATCTTCGCGCGTTGCGTCTTCTTCTTAGCTCACGCTACCTGCCGAGCCGGTTTCAGCAGGTCGACCGTTCGTTGATACTCGTTAAGTAAAAGTTAAAAGGCCAAGTTTCCATGACGAGGATTATAACTTGCGCTAGTATCTCAGTCTTGAAAGACGTTACTCCGGGAGTGAGTTCGTAACGACAATCGCCATTTCGAGCACTATCGCTGAAAATTACGAGCGTCATTATCGTCAGTCGTAGTAATGCGGCATTCGAGTCTTCTCGCGCTTCGAGAGACACAGTCTGGTTTGCTGAAGAGCAATGTACTTTTGTGTGTACTCAGCAACGATAAAAAACCGCGTGTCTGTAAAAATTGTAAAATTACGTCATTCGTACGTCTCTCGTGAAATAATTAACGATCCGTTATTCTCTTAATTATTCTTTGATAAAGAAGTTTTACGCGATTTTAATCTTTTAGATTTTCAATTTTAAATCCTTGATCAATCGGATTTGTAATTTTCTACGTGCTCACCTCGAGAGCTCGTCGTTCTTGGTTTTTTAGTACGCGAATGTAACAGCGACACTCGGGATATTAATATCTTACTTAAAGCAGGCCCACGTTTTTGCGAGGACGTCTGGTTGATCGTCTGGTTCTTCGCGACAGGACAAGAGTCCGCTTTCGCGCGACTCCGTTAGATGTGACATGATTGCTGTTTATTGCGCGCAATATCTTAACTAAAAATTCCTCCACCTTTTCATTTAGACGACTGTATCATTAAGAACTGTCATATAATTATGCTTTAGAGAAAAAAAATGGTAGAAATGTCAGTCTTGGTTCGTTATATGCTAAAACCGGCGGAAGAATTCGAGTTAATTATGTCATACTCGCGCTGCTCGACAAGGAAGTCGCTTGTATAATATTCTGAATGCTTCTATTATATTATTTGATCACATAGAATTCATTGTTTGCATCTGTCCGATCGATCGTAATTTTACATAATCGTGCTGGTTCATTAGCGATGCGGGGACGTGACAAGAACCCGGAACACATACACGTCGCGCGAGCGACGTACATACAAATTTCCGAATGTCCCTTTAGAGTAGGTCGCGACGAATGCGGGCGTAGGCACGCACGCGCTCGCGATCGAACGCGCCGACGGGTGTTCGAAAATCCGCGGTGCGACGAGCGTCGAGGAGGAAGGCGGAACGCGTCGAACACGGGACGGGGGGAGAGGAACGGCGACACGCGGACGCGCGCAGCTGACGCCGAGCGTCGATAAAAGCGTGCGTCGCCGTGAGCCGCGTGCATTTATCGCGCGTCCACGAAACCGTCATCAACCGCGAAACGACAACACGTGGGAAGACGTGAGACAAAAATTGTCTCTCTTGTGTAGTCGCGCGATTCTTTAAAACCGTCGTCGCGCCCGGGATCGTCATCTCGCGACTTGTTCCCGACCGCGGCGATAAATCTCACGGCGTATAATCGGCGAGACAACGAGAGTAACTTCACGCGCAAACACGGATTCGAGAGAAGATAAACCGACCTCCGTTCTTTTTTTTTTTTTTGCTTCGCGCGCAACTCCGGAGCGGAGATAAATCTCGTCGCGTGGGCAGCTTCTCGCCCGGAGCGACGACGACGACGACGACGACGACTCCCGAGGCAGTGGCGAACGATTCTCCGGGAGAGGAACGATTTGTTGAGGAAAAACGACTAAGACGAATCGAAGGTGACGACCCGGCGGGAGTTCGGACTTACTTGAGAGGAAAATCACATCGACGTCACTTGCACCGTGATATCGATATCGCACGAGGGCATAATCGATCTCTTCCAAGCGCGCTCGTCCGACAGAATAGAGGAGTCGGAAACGAGGGAAGAAAAAAAAACGAGAAAAGCGATCATCCGTACGATCGTTCGTCGTGACTTGACGTCAGTGAACTGGATAGTGAACCGATAATCGGCGCGATAACTGCGGGCCTACATCGATACATTATCAGTAGACAGTTTCGTGCCGGGAGAAGAGGAGACGAAGGAGGGCGTCGCGGCGCGTCCAAGAAGCCCGGTCGTCAACAACGTTGCGTGGCGTAATCTAATCGAAACGTCAGTCAGGTGAGAATCCGAGATAGTGAAATGTATAGAACCAGCGATATTTTATACAACTAGTTAATTACGATAATGCGCTGTTATACATAATGCGTTATCGTAATTAACTATAGTTGCCCCGCGCAATCGAATATCTCGCGGATGATTTTCGCGCGCTTAAGTCGTTGCCACGAAGCAAGACAGTTTCGTGCGAAAAAGACAAATGTCTTCCACAGCAATTAGGAGAGCAGAAACGCGTATAGATAATCATCTTGACAAAATTCTCCTCCTTGTACAATAATTCTCATTTTGAACGTAGAAGCGAGATTTTCCGTGTCTTATCTCTCTCCAACTTGACGCGACACAAACCGGAAAAATCAAACTACCTGACGCACTAACAAATGGACGATGCGATTTCGCCTCGTGTGCTGGCAATAAAAACTTGTTACACACAGCAAAACTTTGCGGAAATGCACAGTCGTTGTTACGTACAAATGCAAATCGCACACAATCCGTCCATATCTAATCGCTGTTAATTAAAATGATTAATGAGAAAAGCCCATTAACACGCGCGCAGATAGCAATCGCGTTTAATCAGATTAGCGAGTTTCAATCTCGTTGCACGCCTTCGCGGTTATTTACAATTTATTTAAACTCAACTCGTTGCATGCACACAAATCATGAATATTCATAAACAACCGGTACATACGAACCGTTAATACGAATTATTCTCTTATTTCTCGAGTGAAGTCACATTGATCAAGAAACATCCTTTTCGCGTCTACATTCCCGTTGCGAATGTCACGCGCCGTATCTAGAATCTCCGTTTCTCTCTCTCTTGCTGTGAGGTTTATCACCTGAAATTTGTTCCGCACTCGATCATTCATTAGTGTCATGTACCAGACAGTGCACTTCTGCACGACGATCTTATCGCTTGCGCAGCAGTACTTCACACGACGAGTGCTTCGCGCGAATGAGCTCGCGCGCTCGCTCTCTCTCACCGAAAATGAAACTTGCGGCCGTCGTGCTTCGTCGCGATCGTATCGAGATAAAAAACCAGTGCGTGCTTCAGCGTCGGAAAAAACACTCTTGGGAGATTTTTCCGCTCGCGGCGAAGTTTTTCGTAACGAACGCGCTGTCGCGGAAGAAGAGTCTCGGGTGCAGAAAGGGAGGAAAAAGACCGATTCGAGGCGTCGTTCGAATTACCGACGGAATTATCGGGCGCGGAATTAGCCGCGGTGCGGTACATCACAATTAATTCGTAATTAAATCCTTCAGTCGGAGGGAGGAGGCGTGGTTCCCCTTTACGTGTGCATGCCGTAACTCTCGCGTGGGCAGCTGGACGCTTGGAAAGCCGCGCTCCAGCGAACGCGAACGCGGCGATGTCGAGATGGGGTCCGCGCGCGTATCGCCGCCGCCGCCGCCGCGCGCCGGTGTGACAGCAGGAAATAAAGGGCAGACCGTGCATTAGCGTCGACGGTCAAAGGGTCGCTCAAATATCGACCGAGACGGTGTTAAATTGCCATTTGTCGGTCGGGAAATGGCCCCCGCTTGCGTTTCGCGCTCGCGCCGACTGTCGTCCGATATGTCGTCCGTCTTGTACGCTTTTGACTCCCCATAGGCACGATAATAACGCTCCCCAGGATATCGCTTTTATTCAGCACATCTCGCTGCATATTTTCCGCCGCATCGGATTATTTCCCATTTGTCATTCCGCTTTCATATGCGCCAATAACCGCTATGGAATATATTTTATTAGAGCGAGAACCGCAACGCGCGCGCGTGTGTGTATGTGTATATGCTTTTGTTCTAACAAAATCCAAAGAGGATTTCCTTTTTAAGCTGTCAGAGATCAAAAAAGATATAAAATTCATGCGTCATATAAAATATTGTGAATATCGTACGTGTGGTCGTGACATTTAAATAAGCGGCTAATATTTTTGTTGCTACAATTTGTTTTTACTTACATATTTTCTCTACTGCGTATTATTTCAATGAAATATTGTCTGATGAGAAGCTCCGCTTCGTGATTTCGTTCGCTGATACGATCTCTTTCATGAGAATATCGCCAACGAGCTATAAATGTCAGTGCATATTACACTTCGTGAAACAGCTATTTGTATTGACCAGATTTGATCGAAAAATGACTTGTAGAATACTTATATATAGAGACAAAGTTTTTCAGTTTTCAGAGAGAGAGAAAGAGAAAGAGAGAGAGAGAGAGAGAGAGAGAGAGAGAGAGAGAGAGAGAAAGAGAAAGAGAAAGAGATTTTTCTCAAATACAGTAGCTCTCAGGTTGTTTACCGTAGGATCGTGCTCGACGCGGCCGAAGATTACTTTCGTCATCCTGATCGCGTTTCCGATCGAGTTCTCAGGCAGCGCGGAAAACTCGATACGAATTACCGCCCGGGGGTATAATATCGGCCATTCGAACCGAATCGCATCCCCTTCGACGCCAAGTGGAATCCGGTCTGATCCTTTCCGCCGATTTCGTGTGCGTCACGCTTATATATGTGACATGTACATGTGTATATATATTTATTCTTTCTTCAATCCGCAACGCGTGGCTCTTTATTATTAAGAACGATACAAGCGATAAACAGCACGCGACATAAGAAGCGGGAATATAGAAATATAATCTCGAGACAATTTCCGCGAGATTGAACATCCCATCAATGGGTAGTAGTTGTTGATATTAATTCTGACAAAGATTTTTTTTTTTTCATTATCAGAACTAATTTCGATTATATCAAATGCGGAATTCTTTCTCGAACTATAGATCCGATAAAACCGGTTAAATTATACGCGAAGAGAACTTGCTCCGGACAAAGTGACGCGGCGTGAAATTGACATTTCACTTTGTTGTCGGAGCAATTGTTTTGCTTTAATCGCTAGAACTACTACTGTATTTACTTTGCGCTAGCTTCGCAGACCACTTCTCGATTTCTCGCTGTCTAGTCGCGATCGCGCGGATGTAATCGTTCCGGCACAGTTTTGTTCCATCTATCGGAAGTACCGACAGAAGAAGGACGCGGTCGCATTACCGCTAGCGCCATTAGCGCTACGTCAAAGGGATATGTAAACCGGTCGTACCCACACACACACGCTCACGCACGCATGCACGCACTTTGGCCGTGCGCGCATAAATTCACCGTAATATTTCGCGAGAGGAACAGACGCACGTGTGCTCGTTAAAAAACGCACTTCCATATGTATTATACATATCGGAGTTGCGCGAACAAGCTCGCCCACGAAAGAGCACTGCTAGCGCGCCTTTGTTGTCGTTCGACTGCCACAGGAGAGAGACGACGACGACGATGCCGGAATTTCGGTAGCGCGCGCGCGGAAATGCGCCGTGAGATATATCGCCCGTAGAAATCATTGTCACCCACCGAGTATTATTTTCATGCAAATTCGCAGTCGCGCGCTTCTCGTTCGTTCGTTCTCGCGTTCTTAAACTCCGTCCCCGCGCGTCGTTTCTCCGTATAATCACCCTAACTGCGCCACCTCGTCGCGTCTTTTTTTGTTTTTTTTGTTTTTTTTTGTCCCTTCGCTAGCGGTTTGGTATATTAGTATTCGACGTCGTGTCTCGGCCTCTTTTCGTATGCCACGGGGCACAAGTCCGAGGCCGGCGAAACACGCAGAAGCTACGGAATTTTTTCCTACGACTTTCCCGTGTTTTCGGCGCCGAGAGGAAGATGCATTCGTTGCGCGGATTACTACGTACGCTCGAACCGGACGTATCACGAATGCGAATCACTCTGTTTACCACTGGCTCGCGGTTCAAACGCCGAGATATAGGTAGGTAGGTAGGTAGACGGTCTCATGTCGACGAACTTCGTTGCGAACGTATGGAATTAGGAAATATTGTATGATGTTTGTTTTACGTAACAAGATAAAAAGCAGATAAATTTAGAGAAATAGAAAGGAACATTTTGAATTGAAATTTTTTTACACACACATACAGTGACACCTATATTGAGCAGGGAGTTGATTAATAAACTATTTTTAGTTCCAAAAACGAAGATTTCGTGAATATATTCTCTTCGGTAAGATTCGAGAGAAGCTAAGCCCTCACTTATCAGAATGCATTAACGGTCTTCTTTTTTTTTATTGCCTCTTGCTTTCTAGTCCTAAGTGTGAGAAAATGTCAGACCGGAATATCGGAGATCCAGTTATCTTTCTTTGATGCTTTGCACGCTGGCATTAATCGATTCTGTAAAAATATTGTTATGTCTCGTCGTAGCGAGAACGGAAGAACGACGTTCGGTTTCATCGGAAAAAAGACCTTCGTATATATATATAGGTGAGATTATAGGTTGTGTGCGTTTTAAAAGTAGCTAAATCCCTGTCACAACAGGATTTCAAGCGATCTGAAAAGCGGATCTTATGTCGTTTGCCTTTAGACACGCCAGATTAGTTTTATGCGTTGACAGGTGCGTCGCGTATGTTTTCATACAACACGAATTCGAGCGATCGTGACGAGGAAACGTTTGTTTGAAGACGCATCAAGAAATTGATTTCAAGAAACAAACAACTTTCTCGCGTCTATCTAATCTGTATGATATAGATAAATGATCGTACAGGTTAAAAAACAGTCATTAAACAGAATTTATCATGTTTGTGACGTTTTGACAAAAATTTTATCTATTTTGTCGATAAACGATGAAATGTGCTAATAATAAAATTTATAAAAGTTCAATTTTATTTTCTTTCTTTATTTGTCAGAAGATTAAATTTTTAGTGTAAATTTTAATTATTATAATCTTGAATTTGTTGTGTATAGTCTGAAGAAGATTCAATTTTGAATCTCAACGTATATACAACGAATAAAGAAATTTGTTAACGTAGATTTGGTTTTTGCCTCGTACTGGCCACCTCTCTCCCATTATTATTATATTTCACGAGGACGAATACAATTGTTTTAATTATTATAATTTGTATTCTTGGAGTTTTTAGATTAAATTTATTCTTACTTATTTTTTCACATTCCACTACACATTCCACTACATTGTTTCTTACAGTGT